ATTTACAAATAACACATCGTAACAAATATTCATAATATGTACAAACAAGTTTCGAAGTATTCGATGTACACGCGAATTAAAAGCTTCTTGCCAATTAGTAATTAGCAATCCCTAGGGATGGAATCAAGTTCAATATGAACTTACGAATTCGAGTCAATTTCAATAACCAAGTTTTATTTCACGGGTTTATTCGATTACTACTCGTAAGGAATAAAGTTTCAATAAATATAGTTGCAATGTAATTATTTTATATAAGTTAGTTTCGAACCCTAGAATGAGTACCTTCAGGTTTCGAAAAGAATCGAATCTTTCACAAGTACATAGTACTTGAATTTTGGAAATAAGAATTCTATATCAGGTTTAAACAAAGCACTCCGTATAATGGTTATAATTTTTGGCAAGGTATTCATAAAAAATTCGAATTTATCTCGTTTAGGTTCGAGTGTACTTGGAAATACTGTTTTTGTTTTCCGAAATATTTATAGAGAGTTCGAATTCAATCAGTCAGTAGTTCAAATCTACTTGCGAGCTACCCCATCCTATCCCTACCAATTACACGTAAGTACATCGGTTGCTTCACCTTCCCTTAAAAAATTGTTTTATACTTCGTGAATAAAAGTACATTAAATTACAATTTCCCGTGTATTTAATTTGTCGTCTAACATGCATCACAGGTTTTATAAATAAAGAAATGGATAATTATTTTTTCATCAGTATTTCGTAACAAGTATTAAACGTGCATAAAGATGGTGGTATATCTTCTGCCAATCTAATTATGCATAAGGCATGAGCAATTTGCTTTCTTTTTTTTAATTCCTGTATTAAAATTTCGGCATTCTCTTTTGTGTTCGTTAGCGATTTATTCACTAGAACGTGTTCAATTATTCGACCGTATACTTCGTGACTCGGATCGAATGACGCTGTTAAATTTTTCAGAAACAGTGTTTCTAATATCGGTCCTTCCAATGTTAATTTCTGTAATATTCAATAAATTAGTACAAAATATACGCAAGGTAATAGTGATTTTCATTCGTGCACATGTTCACGCATACTTTGTGTTCCTTTTGGAGAGTGTCTACTGCTTCTTTATGGAATTCTGAGTCGTCCACACACAGCTGGATATAAATTACGTGCTCGAGCGGCAATTGTTCCGTACACAAAAATTTCTTAAACGTCTGTTACAAATAGTTTAAATAATTAATAATATATAACGAATTCGAATTATCTTCTACTTTGAAACTTACATCTTTCGAAGGCAATACTTCTAATAGTTCTTTATATTCTTGAAAGATTTTCTTATTTTGTTTGCTTTTGTCTTTTTCTGTTATGAGAACGTTAACTTTTTTCATCATTTTTAAAATTGGATCTTTGTCGATTGTTATATATTCAGGATTCTCAAATTTCGGCCACTGTAATAACAGTTTTTTTACTTCGTGAAAATGATTAACATTTCGTATTTTATCATATACATCTTCGAAGGCTTCGAAGCGATGTTTCTCTGTTCTACATTCGCCGATATCTTTTACTATGGAAATATTATTCTCTATGTACAATTCCTGATCTAAAATACTTTTTTGGCTTCCGACATTTTCTATTACATCCTCGTCTGAAAAGTTGCCCCAGTCATCCGTCCATTCTGTGTCGTGTTTACCATCAGATTCAGACAAATTTTGTTTGCTCTTATGTCTTCTACTGTGACTCGAATTTTCCGTCGATCTTTCTTCACTTCTCGACTCTACACTTGTTAAACTAGAACTTCGAAGAGGGACTGTTTTTTCATCATCTTCAATTATTTCATTTGGTTCCAGAAATTCTGTTCCTTTTATTCCATAGCTGTTAAGTAAACGTGTTCGCCAATCGATGAATGTTTCGTAGATTTCAGATTCTTTGCATTTATATGCTATTGTCATAGTTTTCAATATTAAGTTTAACGGATCAAATAAATATATATTGTCAAAATCTTTATACAGGCTTTTATGTAACTCCAAAGAATAGTAATACATTGCTGTTTGAATGTACAATTTTGTTTGTGGCAATTCCGTTAAAACATTGTGCACTTCTTTTATATAATTCTTTTGTATACTAAATAAATAAGCCATGCCAAGCAGCCAGTCTTGCTGCATTGTATATTTTGCACATTCTAAAAATACTGAAATGAAACAAAGTGATCATTTGTTTGGTATTTAACTTGTACATATGCTTAAGTCAATGTACAATACTTACAATGATTAATGTCACTCAGTTCTAATCCATAACAAGAGGATTCACTTAACATAGTTATCCTTAAAAAGGCGCGACAGCATTTAAGCCGTGTATTTTCTAAATCTGGCATTGAATAACTTGAATATTTACTATCGAAATTACTGAGTCTGCAACGTTTATGTGGATCTTCATAAAAGCATGGAAAACTTTGGATATCGTCGTCATCTTCATGATGATCTCGATCATCGTATTCTCTATCGTTATCTTGGTTATTTGAGAAGCTAAATTTTAATCTAGATTTCCAAAAATTCGTATCACTTATATTTTTTATTAGTCCAAACGTTGAGTCTTTCATCATATTTGCAGAAGTCTTTACTATTTCGGTAGAAGCTTCTATTATTTTTGGAACGAATTCTTTTGTTTCTGCCTGCGGCTGTAAATTGATAATAATTTAATATGAGTCGATTGTGTACGTTATTGATAGTATTTTTTATACGTTTCTTACCGTAGTTAATGCATCGATAAATTCATCTTCACTGTCAGCGTCGTTAAACTCGTCAGATTCAGTAGTGGGTATCCACAGTTCTAAATTTTTATGTAACATTTGTATTTCTGTTATATGTATCTGATCTAATGCTTTGTTCAGTATATTGCTAGGTCCATTGTTTATTGCAAACCATAAACATTTTTGCCTAGTCTTTAAATCTTCGTAATCCTCACAGAATCCTAATCAAGTAGCAGCACAAACATTAAAGTCTTTTACCTAAAAAATGGTATCGTAAGACGACTATTTATGACTAAATATTAAGCAGTAAATATTTAAAAGTTTTTACCTCAAGTGCTTTCTGTGCGATCAATTCTAAAACTTTGCCTTCTCGCGCTCTGCTGTTATTCTTTTCAATTCGCAAGTAATTCGCTAATGTTAATAATCTTTGCCGACATTTATGGGCGTCTTCACGATTATTCAAACATTCTTCTATCAATTTCAGTCTGTCCTGCTTTAATCGTACTTGAAGCGGTAATATATCAATGTTGAATTCATTTAAAATTTGAAGCGAGTTAATGAGATCGTATTCCTCTTTTATCTGTGCGTTATCATCTACAATTAGATGAAGGCAAGCTCTGAAATAATATTGTTCATTAAAATTAAAATATGGGGTAAAAGTTGGAAATTCTTTAGAAATTGAAACACCTACCTAGCTAATTCCATATTAGAATCAATCAAGGATTGGGAGCTATTAAAATATTCCTTACTGGCGTCTAAGATTAAATTCACAGCTTTGTCATACGACACCTTTAACAAAGACTGTTCATTTTTTCTAGTCTCGATTAAAATAGCGCAATTCTGTATGTTGGATTTAACACCCGATACCAAACGCGCCGATACACAGATTTCAAAACATATTTCTATATCAACGCAAGTAAAAATTAGACCGTGAATTTCTAGCATCTCGTTCAATAATTGTTCCCATTGTTTGTCGTCTGGAGGTGGAATTCTTAAAATAAAAGTGAACAAATATTGTGCATAAAATCCTTGTAAAAAAGATATAAAAAAGAAACATTTCTAATTACTTACATTTTATTCAAACTCCTTGCCATTTGAATTAGTATCTGCTTTGCAGTTTCGGGGTTACTCTTATTTTTTCGTAATGCATTTAACGTGGTTTTAACCCCGTATTTATTTAAAATCTTTGTACATTTCAGTTCTCTATCAAGCTCTTCGAGTAAAGTGCATGTTGCACTCGTTCTCCTTCCATCGCGATCTTTAGCAATAGAATCTACAATACATGTTGCTTTTTCGTACATATTAGAATTATCACAAGCGTATATGCAGTCTAATGCCAAAGTGGCAATATCTTCTACCATTTCAAGAATCTCACCATCGTGAGACTGCTTTAAATATTCGAAAAGTTTGACCGGTAATTTTAGATCTTCTTTACTAATACATACTAAGTAATCTCTAAATAAATGCCTTTGTAAATCACCGCCCAGATACTGATGTCTTCTTCTTATAAATGGCAATAAGAAATTTTTGATATCGTCGACAAAACTTTTCTCGGTAGTCATGCTCATTAATAATTTAATCTTTTCCAAATTAGATAGTTTTTGTAACTGATCTAAGGCTAAATCTTCTACATAAACCTTGTAAATGAGGTCATCTAAGGTTTCTAAATCTAGTAACAAATTTTCTAGACCAGTGATATTATGAGATTTGGCAATTTTTATTAATTGCAAAGCGTTATCAATCATATAACTATTTCGTTCAATTTGATAGGCTCGTGACTCGTACCATTTTTGCAGTAATTCTGGTGTAAGCAAAGTATTTCTGTATATAATTAGCGATGGATCATATTCGTAAAGTAGTTCCGACTTATCGTCGTTTTCCAAATTAATTATCTCGTCGAATTCAGCTTTCTCAGACCAATCTTTTTGCCGTAATTCACGTTGATCAAGCAAAAATAATTGCCCATCGCTATCACACTCTGGTAGAAGTTTTTTGTATTTCAATGGATTTAGCGTTTCTGGGAAAAAACTAATAATTGCTAGCCAGTGGGGTAACAAACTTTCACTATGATACACGAACATAATTTCAACTCCTTGACAATCTCCATCTTTTGCGAATCTTATTGCATTTTCTACTACAGAAAGTTGTCGAAATTCTTCATAAAATTTTTTATCATATTTTAACGAGGAATTCAAAATAATTTCGTATGTGAGTAATTTATCTAAATGATCCAGAAGTTTTCTTCTGTATTTAATTAAGTCTTTCTGTGCTTCAGATAAATTTTTTATGTCAATTTCTTTGAGTATTTGATTTATTTTTTGTACTTGTCTTAAACTAGCACTTGCTTCATCCATTTCATTCCAATCTTCGACGGTATTGTCTGTTACAAATTTTCCATTATCACAAGTTCCAATTGCTACCAAAGTTTCCATGTTAGCACCTTTTAATCCGAAATTTAATAATTCTCTCGCTGCTTCAATAGTATCTGGAACTCGAGTAATGCATTCGTGTAAGACCCAAGATCTCTTTGTGACTTTACTCAAATGTTCTTGAATAGCATTCAAAGATAATTCAGATTTTCGCCACTGCGTTTGATATACCAAATCTGTATCTAAATTATATGTATTGGCTAGAGCCAATGCTTCTTCATATTCCTATAATATAATTATTTATTTAATTAAGTTAGAGGTAACTTGAATTTCATGAATACTCATACCTCTATATCAATTTTTCTTGAGTAAAGTTCTTCAGGTGTGGTACTTTTCAGTCCAAGGATTCTATATGTTCTGAATAACACTCTTGATTTTTTTCTCTTAGGCTGAAATCTTTCAATATCAGTTATAGAGTACAAAGTACTTTGCATTAAATTTGTGGTATAATTTAAAATACTGGATGGTTGAAGTTCATCATCTTCCTCTTCACTTTCTGACGAGGCCTCTGAAAAATTGAATTATCTTTTTAATGTGAAGATATTAAATATCAATCGAAGATTGTGATGTAAACCTGCTGTTTGGCTTTCTGAATTAGACTCTCTGTTTCGCTTTTTACTGGTTATAAATGTTTCACAATCTAGGCATAAAAATCCTCGATCTGTACCAAGTTCACATATTTGTGGTTGCCCAGCTAAAAATTCAGGACTTGTGCCTAAAAGATTCTTTAAGTTGCTTGTAGAACATACAGAAGTAGAGCCTGAACATCTTGCAATTATAATTGCCTGTGAAAATATCAATAATTTGATTCACATGTTTGAATGCCACCTGGTGGAAATTTTTTTATTTTTGAATGTCCCAAGGGATTAGGTATATTAAAATCCGGTTGCTCTGATAATTTCCATTTCCACAGTATTAATAAAGTTGGTAATCTCCATAAGGTTATTGAACCATCTGTGTGTAAGCATGTTAAACACTTATTGTTTGGAGACATTTTCATTTTGAATATGAATGATTCTGGTTGGAAACTTAATGATGGAATAATGTTCCATATAGAAAATCTTGATGTAGTTTTTGCTTCATCTTCAAAAGTAAATGATAATTTGCAATATGGATGTTCATTCAGAGGACGCCATGATGTTAAACCACTTTCTGAAGCTGATGACTACAATGTTATATGTAATTAGAAATGTTGTACTTTCTAAATGTACATATAATCAATGCATTAATTACCATTAATTTGTGAGTTACTGTATTTCCAGCAACATAAAATAGGTGGCATTTTTCATCATAAACAACAGCATTTACTCCATTCTTATAAAAGGTGCCAAAAGAAAATTCATAGTTAACTTCATATCCATTAGTTACAGAAATGTGATAGGATCTCAGCAAACCACTATAAGTGATTAATATAAATTCATAAGACCATTTCTCAGAGTCTGTTCTTGGTTTAAGAAATATCATAGAAGCTATAGCATCACCAGCTTCTAAAATATGAGGGTTTTGGGAAATAGCTTTTGGACTGATGTTAAAAATATTATTTCCCAGGGCATTGTAAAATGAGGTATAACCATTGCTACATGCTAATACTAAGATTGTTCCATCTGGGCTCCAAGTTAATTTACGCCATTGTGGAAAAGCATCTTTTGGTACTAGAGAAACAAAAAATACATTAGAAATAACAGATTTAAGAAATTATATAAATTTACAATTTACCTGAAGCTTTTCCAACAACTGAAGAATATTCATCTTTTGCTTTTCTAATTTCTATAACATTCTCTTGTAGTACAGCAAGTAAACGTCCATAATCCCCAATTGCAAACTTCCATGGTAAAGTCAAACTAATTTGTTGCGATATGCTTTCTGGTAAAGAGTATCTGTTATTAAGATATCTAAGAGCATTTTTAATTGTCCCAGTTGTAGGTAATATTATTGTATCACTTTTGCATTTCTGGAATAAATATTATTTTATAAATTGCATTAAAATGTGAACAGATGTAAACTATATTCCGTCGAATGTTTAATTGGAACGTGCAAGTGTAAACTTACTATTAATTCTGGTTCTTGCTTACGAATAAAATATTCTAACAATTCATAAAGTATCGGCTTATTTGACAATTCATGTGAATTAACCATTTTGTGATCAGAAACATAACCTAACGCGTTGACAAAAACAGACTAGGAAGTGAAATCAGTCAGAATTTGACAAGTTACTAGTATAACGTTATGAATATTTTTCTTTATCTGTAACTCTAGATAAATGAATTTAGATAAATAAATTGCAGATTTAACTGCTTTAATACGTGTTAGTTTAAAAAACTTAATTATCAAAAGAATAATATGTGTACTTTGTTAAAAATAATTTAGGATAATAGAACTATATTGTGTGGTATCTCTGGAGAAGTGCAAATTGCATAAAGCACATGTGTAGGATAGTGCATACATGTGAATTTCAAAATACAAACTTGTCCGTGCTTGCGGTTGTCAACAGGGTAGCGTGAAATTTTTATTTTTACAATTCGAGGTCTTTAAGCATTTGCAAAATGTCAGACGGCGAAGATGATTTCATGTGCGAGGAAGAGGAAGATTATGGTCTTGTGAGTATTTGTGTCTTTAGAAAAGGGACGTTAATATACTGAGAAAACTTTTGGTTAAAATATAGGTTAAGATTTTCAAGTTGACGTATATGAAATTTAAAAATAGTTTTTGAGGTATTTTGTAATATTGGGATAATAAGGTACAATATTACTCAAATTCTTTTTTTAATAATTACGAGGATATAGACATTCTATCGCAGTTCAAATTTGCTTAGGTTATGCTGATGCTTTTAAGGCGTTTTTTTACTATTTCTTTTAGCTTATAGTGATGATAGATCATTGTAGGATAGAATTAATTTAGAAGTGACGTTTTTTTCTAATAATTTTAGGAATACTCTGAGGACTCAAATTCTGAACCCGATGTTGATTTAGAAAATCAATATTATAATAGTAAAGCTTTAAAAGAGGGTGATCCAAAGGCAGCTTTACAAAGTTTTCAAAAAGTGCTGGATCTGGAGGGTGGTGAGAAGGGTGAATGGGGCTTCAAAGCTCTGAAGCAAATGATAAAAATTAATTTTAAATTGGTATGTTCTTAAATTAATGCTATGTAGGATACACTAACTTTTTTATGACATTTCATTCCCCCAGGGTAATTATAAGGAAATGATGGCTAGGTATAAGCAATTACTAACTTATATTAAAAGTGCAGTTACTAGAAACCATTCAGAAAAATCTATAAATTCCATATTAGATTATATCAGTACATCGAAAAATGTGAGTAATGTAATAGTGTAAATTATAGGCTACTTTAGTTTTCAAGCATTTTTGCTTTTTTCTTATTTAATGTTTTACAGATGGAATTATTACAAGATTTTTATGAAACTACTTTAGATGCATTAAAGGATGCTAAAAATGATAGGTTATGGTTTAAGACTAATACAAAGTTGGGAAAACTATACTTTGATCGATCAGACTTTAATAAATTAGCAAAAATTTTAAAACAACTTCATCAAAGTTGCCAGGTGGGCTTTGTTTAATATCTAGCAAATGAAAGGTATCATTATAACATATTTCAATACATGTAATATCTTAGACTGATGATGGGGAGGATGATCTTAAAAAAGGAACACAGCTTTTGGAGATTTATGCATTAGAAATCCAAATGTATACTGCACAAAAAAATAATAAGAAATTAAAAACCTTATACGAACAGAGTTTACACATTAAAAGTGCTATACCACATCCATTAATAATGGGAGTTATTAGAGGTACAGTACTGTAGTTTAGATTATTAGAAACTATTTAAGAGTATTTAATAATCTATATCAAAATTATCTTATCCATTTGTAAAAGAGTGTGGAGGAAAAATGCATTTAAGAGAAGGTGAATTTGAAAGAGCACACACTGATTTCTTTGAGGCTTTTAAAAATTACGATGAGTCTGGGTCACCAAGACGTACCACCTGTTTGAAGTATTTAGTTTTAGCAAATATGTAAGTAAAACTGAAATAAGCAAAATAGTGTGTGTTATAATGCGAATTAGGTCTATATGTTAATGCTTAAACACCTTAAAATAGGCTGATGAAATCTGGTATCAATCCATTTGACTCCCAAGAGGCAAAGCCGTACAAAAATGATCCAGAGATCTTGGCAATGACAAATTTAGTAGTCAGCTACCAAAATAACGATATTAACCAATTTGAATTAATTTTAAAACAAAATAGAAATAACATAATGGATGATCCTTTTATAAGAGAGCATATTGAAGATTTACTACGTAATATACGCACACAGGTATATGCAATACACGTATGGCTGTACCATAAAAAGGGTTTCTAAATATCTGAACATAATTTTACGTAATTTTATAGGTTCTGATTAAATTAATTAAACCATATACCAGGATTTATATACCTTTTATAAGCAAAGAGTTAAACATCGACGTATCGGAGGTCGAAAGTCTCTTAGTGTCTTGCATCTTGGATAGTACCATTCGTGGTCGCATTGATCAGGTAATGCGATATAGTTTACATTATCCAGTAGTGTTTCATTCTCATGACTTTACATCACATTGTACACAGGTGAACCAAGTACTTGAATTGGATAAGAAATCGGTATGCGCAGCGCGTTATAATGCCCTCGATAAATGGACGAGTCAGTTGCACTCTTTACATTTAGCCATAGTGAACAAAATGTCGTAAGAAGTATGGTGCGCGCGAATCCGAAATAAAAATCGACCTCTAAAATATTACACTGTATAGTATATCATAAATGCCTGTCTCCGATTATATGAAAAATAAAATCTGTTGTGATATAATAAAGTTAGGATTTTAATACGATCCGTTTATTATACCTTCTTATTGTAATACATTCATTTCGAAAACGAACCCTTGTAAAATTCATTTACAAACGTGTTCATCGCACACCCGGCAATATTACTTACCGCAGACAATCTTTCCCAGACATTTTTCTTTAATTATTGATTTTGTGCTAAGTCGGTACCGAGGGCATCGAGTTATTTTAAAAATATAACTATGTCAAGAATGGATGGGATGTTGTGGCAAGGAGGTAGGGAGGGATAAGGTATGATTCTGTACTCTATTCTGATACGATGCTTTGTCAAGAGTTCAATCTCTCGAATTCTGTTCGATCAATCAGATTTAGAGCTGGTCATTTATAGCATGACAATTTTCCATGAAAATTTCATCCGATATTCTTTCTCACCGTATTCCACGTATTCTCTTTCCTTTCACCAATCGATCCAGTCTGGCAATTAATTAGGAAACGAGTTACTTTATCGCGCGTACACTTTTTCTGCATACTTATTCATCTATATTTACCACTCATCGGAATGGCGAGCTTATTAAATTTAATTATAAGCAATAACGATAATGAAACGTGAGACGACGTTCGCTTAATTTACGCAATCGTTGTATACAGAGGAAAATGTTTCAACAATTTCTCCAAGACTCGTCTGAAAGTCTCAATTAACCGACTTCCCATTTATCTATCCTAATTTTCTACGCAAGTTCGATACACGGTACAATTGAACACCGTCTCGCAGAAGGATCTGCTTGAACGTGCGCGGCCGTCTCGGTGGAACACGGCTGGTTTTAGCTCCGTTTCAAGCATTGTTATTCAGTCTACGTTCGCGCCTATGTAAATGTTGGTTAACCCCAGGCAGGGTGGGCGGCTGGGTCCCTAGGCTCGTCCTACATCCTCGCCGCTACGGGATGGTATAATCCTCTCGTCCTCGAACAGGTTCATCTTCACCCTCGCCACGTTTAAGGTGGCAGCTTGCGAAGCTACGGAAACTCGCTCTGCTAGGAAATCAATTTCGAAAGTGTAAAATCATCCAGCAGCGTTAGACCGTCTGGATTGTTATTTTCCTCTCTTTATTTAATGTTCCCGCCTCCGTGAATCCGTATTTTCTACTTAATCTCGGTGAAATCGTCTCGCGACGCGGTAGACGAGGACTTTTAAAGAGGTGTACGAAGATTGTTCCGCGATAATGGTTCGTTCTATCGACGGAAGAAGAATAATCGTCGGGAGTAATTGCATCGTGATGTTTCTCTCTCTTTTCTTCTCCTCGACACTTTGAAAATTCGTGGGAAGAATTGATATCATCGTCGATAGAAATCCTCCGTCGAGGATTTTGTGTGTTTTGGCATTAAGGTTCCACGAGCCGCGGTTTCAGCTGCAGCCGGCGTGATTAGCGGGCATGCGAGTACACGCGTGAAACGACGTCGACGATAACGACTATGACGACGGCGCAACCCCAACGTTAATTGGCACTTGCAATCAAAGCAGAGCTCGAAATACCTGCTGGTATTCACGCGGCTCCTCTGCAGCCGTTCAAATGAAATTTCCTTCAAAATTTCTCCCCCCGTGTGTGTACGTGGAGATAGAAGCCGCGAAACGACTGCAGCGATGTCTCTTCGAGATTGTTAATCGTATACTTTAGACGATTGATCAGGCTCGCGAGGAAAGTACAACTTGGAGAGAAAGTCTGGAGAAATTCGACGTTTATCGAATCGATCGAATGCAAGCAAAGTGAAGATGATTAGGATAAAGAAGAAGTTTTTCGAATGGAAATGACGGATGAAGCGAAGGAGAGAAATCATAGGTTCATCCCTTTTCCATAACCTTTTCACAGGTTTCGTCCCTTTTTCCTCCCTAATTCGAGTATCACGTCCGTTGCAGGTTCATGTTGCAACGTACACGAGGGACGTAGCTTGTGCAGTAGATTTCACCCTTTGAGGAGAGTTAATTTAAGTGAAAACTCCATTTTCAGTGTCTCTGCTGCTGGAGGATGCCCCAGGGGCCTGCGCCGTGCAGCAAGAAAAAAGAAATCACGGAGTTTTATACCTCTTCGCTGTGCGTGTAACTACGTCAAAGGGGTACTCCCTGGATCCTCCGTAATTTCGAGACTTTTTCCAATGAATTCTCAAACTTTCTAACTCTCTCCTACTCGATCGATCGTTAACCTATCGAGATTAATTCTTCTAAGGAATCGTTAAAAATTTGGGAGAAAGAAAGAATCTATTCTCGAGTGAAGAGTTAGGGAAAACTACCAGGACGCTTCATTTGTCTCATAGAATCCAAGCTCATTTGTCTCATAGACCAAGCTTTAAATTGAAACCCAAATACCCCAAGTCCAAGTGTGAATCGACCGGAAGGGTCGAGAGGCGTCGTCTGCCCCGTTTCAGGTGGTTATTTTTCAGCCGCTGGTTAAGACCGCGCATTAAGGACAACGGCCGAGGGAAACGATTCCAGTTAATTTTCACACGGTTACTCTTCTCCACCCTTTCTTACTTCGTGACGGCGGCGACCCAAAACCATTTCGTTACCGGAACGAACTTAATAACAGAAAATTTCTCCCCGTTCTGCTGTTCCTCTTCCTACCCTTCGCAGCCTGTGTATTCTGCTTGTTCTCTATCCCTTCGAGGATATCCTCGTTACACGAGGAACACTTTACTTCAAGATCAGAAGGGAAGACAATTTTTTCCACGTAGTCCCTGAAGGAACAAGAACGATCGCGAACGACAACTCGCCTGGGGCCATATATCATACGAACAAGGAATATAGCGTTTTTTCGGGGTGGCGTCGCGACGCTCCATGCGTCCACCAGCCGTATAATCTCTCAAATATTGTTCGCGCGTTCCGCGTCGATCTGTCGCGAGTGTGTCCCGTGTGGGAGGGAAAAGGTAGCTCGAGAATTCTCGAAACGACGAGGAGAATCGTTTGGAATGGAAACAGAACGTAGAAAGAGAAGGGTGGAGAAACATATCTGCCAGTTTTTAGCAGCGTCGTCATATATCATAAGTGCGAGTGAAATGTTCAGGGTGAAAGAAGGGCCTGTTAGGTTGGATCATCCATCTTACACGGCTTAACTCGCCGTGCATCCGTGATGTACAAGTGTGCGGACACTTACAGGCAAAACGAAACGTGTATTTCTATTCTTCACGCCGTACGTACGTGTGTAGGTGTATCGGATAGAAGGGTGCATCTTCGCGAGTTTCGATGGCAAAAGACAGCCGTAACGCAATAGTCGAGGGCGTCGTGAGAACAGTTTTTCTCGGTTACTCGTCGACAAAGTCGTTTTCTACCGACGACTGCCAGACAACGCGTAACTTTTGCCCGACGAGCTTTCAGCTAACGTCCACCGTGGAATTGGACAAGACGAATTGGAAAATTGAATCGATTACCCGACGGGAAAGTTTGCAGTTGAGGATAGCGTTGGTGGGTAATTGTTTTAAGTCTGTGGTGTTAGGGTATCGCAGGGATTTTGAATGCACACTCACTTTCATAAATATTAGGACACTTGCCTGACTGTGAACGAAACGTAAATAGTAATTCAAAAATGATTGAAATCCTGAAAAAAAAGATAAAACTTTTAAATATTAATGTAAGTAAAACTAAGCTCCTAACGAGCTGAGAATTCAAAGCGTGAACACTCTCTATATTTCTACCGCTATGCGACACTAACTTTGCCAAAGAAATGTAATTTAAATTCTATGAAATTTTCTGTACCTGACACTGATATTAAGTTTTAAATAAAATTCCCTGATAAAACGATACGAAAGGAGGCGTTCTTCGTCGCAACTTTCAGTGATCACTATCACTGCCACAGTATATTCTCCAGGAAAGTGTTCGAAACGATGCAGCACATGTCTCCCGGCTGAAATATTCGTTCAGTCGGCTCTCTTTTTCATTCGTAGCCGGGCGTGGTAAAAGTTTTCCCTAATTGAAACGCTCGAAATAGGGTGAATAAAATTTGGACGTTCTCGTTCCGCCGGATAGATGACCTTTTCCTACTAGTTCTGACGAGGTTCGCGGAGAGAACGATTCGATCTCCCCGGACAAAAGTTTGTTCGCCGGCCGTCGAGGACGGGGTGGTTTGCGAGACACGGCACGTTTAAACCGTCGTCGTCGTCGCCGGCGACGTACGAGGATCGGAGGATTTTAATCTGAGGGAAAAACAGGCCGCGAAGATGGCGGGCGTGGAACGAGCGTGGAGCTAATCGAGCGGCGAACGCGTAAGCCGGATAAAAGGGCTTCGGCGTATTGGCAAATTGAGAAGTTCTCCCTCCCCTTCCTGGATCATGGTGAATCCGCGACATTTACATTTTATGATATTTGTCGAGTCCTTCAACCCTTGTTGCCGCCGGCGTAGACATTCCTTAAGCCGCGCCATCCTTTCGTTCTCACACAAATATCCCGGCAACCACGTTTCCCTCCATTTTTTCCCACCCCTTTTTGCCGCATCGCTGTGTATTATTCGCTTGATGTATGTTGTGGCGAAGTGGGAAAAAAGAGGAGAGAGGAAAAAAGGGGACAGGGAAGCAACCACTCATTACCGAGATAAAGGAAGGAACGTGTGCACGTATAGCTTCGAAATCCGCTTTCGGGACGTTTACCTTCTTTTCTTTTTCTTCCTTTTTCCTCTCTCTTACCACAGTGTTCTTCCTCCTTCTTCTCGTAAGACAAATTTTATTTATCGCCTCCGCATCGTGGGACGTCCCTTGCGTTCTTTATTTTCCCGGTAGCAACCCACGGGGGAAGGAGCCTGTTATCTTGAAATACTCGTTCCTCGGTTACAACGTGACAATCGTCGAGGTTAATCGCGAGTTAACTTTACATTACAACGAACGTCATTCCTTCTTTTTATCATCGAGAATGGATCCATTGAATTCTCGTG